ATGCTTAATGACCACGTGAGACCCCTGACACTGTCATAGCTTTCTGAAGCCTGAGTCTTGCTCAGAGCTTGATGATCAGTCCACAAATTAAACTCTTGGCCAAACATGTATGGCTTGAGTTTATCCAAAGTCCAAACAAATCAGATACTCCTTCTGGACAGAAGTCAAATTTTTCCCTTTGGTAATACTTTCTCAGAAATTCAGAAAAGCAGTATATTTTATGTTCTCCAAGTTCTTATAATCTCATTCAATCTGGTATCAGATGCATCAATTGCTGTAATGAAGGGTTTTAAAAAGCCTGAAGCTTCCAAAATGGATAAAGAAATCAAAGCCCATTTGAACTTTTGTAAAGTATCTCAACACAGTAGGATCTAAAAACTTTAATGAGTTTGCTATCTGTGTGTCAGACAGCACAATAGGTCAGCTACAATTTTAAATGAAGAAAATTCTAAGGGATCCCACAAAGGTCATGCTTTTTTTTAAATTTGTTTTTTTTTTTATTAATTGTAGGGAGCTTGCCAATCTCTAATAGAGTCTACTTAATTCCACAAGAGATCTCAGATGTCAAATATTTGACCTAGGAAAGCCCAGCACGCATTACTAAATTTTATACAGTTCATGGGTGGCCACAAGCCTCAAATTAGATACGCCCTCATACTCAGGGATGAAGTCATAAAATCTCATCCTCTGAAATTCAGGATTGAAAAAACAATCAACATAACCACCATGATATTAGTAGCATATGATTAACATTTTAAAGAAGTAACAAGCTTTTAGAGGTGTTTTATCAATTTCTGGTTGATGTTCTTAGGATGTTCTCAGATCTCAGCAAGGAGAATTAGATCTCTGTAATGTAAGTAATAATAATATGTACCATTTGTTGAGCTACTACTATATGTCTGGCACCATGCCAGAAATTTTGCACTTGCTGTTTCGTTAATCCTCACAGCTGGTGAGGAGACATCTGCCTACCAGGGTTTGGAGGTGCGAAGGGGGATGAAAGTTGTTCACCATCATACAGCAAGTGCCCCTGCTGGGATTCTAACTCAAGTCTTATCAACTCCCAAGTATACCATTAAAGGCATAAGTGGACGAGAAATGATTCTGTGAAGTTGAGCAAAAAGGCAGGTTAAGTGAAACAAAGATGTGAAAGTCTCCAAAAGCTTTAAGGTGAATTATTCAAATCAGTTATCCAGACAGAAACACCTTGGGAGGGAAGGAAGGTTACTCTTTACAGCCTCCTCAGCCTGCTAGGGATATCCCTTAAGAACACTCAGTTCCCTCGGACATAATTCAATATTCACTAAACCTTCTGATCTTTAATTTGATCTCCTGGGGACTCCTTTCCACCAGGAGGAAATACCTTGTCCACATGACCAGGGCTGGTCAGCTGCCAGCTTTAGCCCCTGGGATAAAATAATAACTCAGTCAGGAGGAGGATATTTAGCCTCTGCTGAGTAGAATTACAGGGAATCAATTCCTAAAAATATCAGCTCTGAAATAGCTAAAATGGTGTTTCTGGTCCTATAAAACCAAGGACTCAATCCTGGTCTTCACTGACCTCCATTAAAATGTATACATAGACCAGCGGGCCCACCTTGAAACAGCCTACCAAGCTCTCTGGCCATTTAAACGACATTAATATGGGACCACTTTTTTTTTTTTAAGATTCTATTGGGGAATTGGAGGAGGGGAACAGACAAGTTGCTGTCCTTTTATTCTTCAGTCTAGTTGTGGAGGACACCACTTCACTGGCCCATGTTGGTATCATCATTGCGCTCTTCCCGGGTGAGGCAGTCGCTTGCCAGCCATTGGACAGCCACTCACATCGGCTCTCGGCAGCTCACGGCAGCCCACTGCAGCAGAGGCTGCAGCCTACGCCGTCACCGGCGACTCACGGCAATCCAGCTGCAGGTCGAGCTGTTGTTCACCATCTTAGCTATCGAGGAAGTAACGTCAATGGCCCTCATGTGGGATCCAAACCGGGGCCCTGCTGCTCAGAGCTGGCGTCCCAAGCCAACTTCTAATCAATGCGCCACTCGGCCGGCCCTGATATGGAACTACTTTTAATGAGTGACGTTAAGAGATTGTCATATTGCATACTCACAACCTGGCCAAATAATAGCTATGGGATGAGTACAAAACGTCACAACAGTCCATAGCATGTTCAACAAGCCATTAGCCAGTTTTAAAAATTAATCAGATGACTCCCCAACATAAAGGGGTTTTGGAGGAGAAGCCATGAAGGAAGCCATGTTAAAGGACTAACATGCCCACAGTCCCCTTCAGGAAAGCCACTCCTAGAGATTCTTTCTACAAACAAACTGCAATGCCTCCAGCCTTGTGCGTTGAATGAAGGCAACATCACCACACTAGACTCAACTGATGAGAACAGAAACCCATTAGCCATGATGAGGCCCAAGGTTAAACTCACCATGTAGTATATGAGGGAGGCCCTCTGCTTCTGAGGCCACTTGACACGGAGCTGTATGCCCATCAGGAGAGCTCCTGATTAGATAGTGACAAGGTGACCTGCCTAGAGTCTCTCTCTCTCTCTCTTAGGAAGAGGAAATATGAGGTGGACAAGGAGAACATGGGTTGTTCAAGATCAAGTACTAAGTAGCTGGACCAGGTCTCCACGAAGCTCCTAGATACCCCAGTCCTAGAAGGCTTAGAACGTCTCGCTACCCCTTCTGGACAGCTTACTCTTTGCACTGAATTAAGTATTTCCCTCAAAAATAATATTATTTCTGAAACTTAATACTGGGTCAGCTTCTGAAATTTTATACTTGAAATTGCTCTTTGCAGAACTCTTAAAGAGCTTCTTGGTGCTTATTTGCAAACGCCAAATACTTCAATCATTAGTATTCACTATCTACTTAAATCTAAGTTTTTTGTCTTCACATATTCATCATCTACCAGGCACACTGTACAAAGAGTCATGAAGAGTAGGATCTCCTCAACCAGGAATTGTGTTTCCCCCTTACTTTAATACTTCACTTCCTTAGCACTTTGCTTTTTAATGCTAAAGCTAATCTTATTTGTAATTTACATGCCGAGCTGAAGTTTACTCATTAAATACTAAACTTGGAGTTGCTCAATAACAGGCTGACCTCTGGCACTCTCACCCTCTTTCAAGGGCACCATGATTCTTTCCCAGATCTTAGTTTTCGAAACACTTAAAATGTAGAAGAGTTTACAACTGAGCTATGAAGCGATGTCTCCAAACCTTGTTATTTGGAAGTCTTAAAATATTTACGGTTTATACTCATGTGCATGAAATAAAATCTTAAAATATGCCTCAGAAATTAAAGCTATTGATTTCTGAGTGTTTACTATACACCAAGTATGACGTTAAATGTTTTGTTTGTCCTCTATCATTTAATCCTCACAGCAATCTTTTTAGTTTGATAGTATTATTGTAAACAGATCTTGAAGTGGAAGGAGAAAAACCTAGGCTCAATATGTACCAAGGTGCTTTTCTTACTAGTAAGCAACATCAGGGTGTTGGGAACCGGATGCTCTGCTTTTGGGCCGTGATCTGCTACTCACTGTGTGCCCTTGGGCATGGCACTTCCCTTCAACTACCTAATCTGGGCTTCAACTCCCTCCTCTGTTAATCATTAATCATTATAATTATTTCTATTTGAGAGGGGTCCTAGTTCGAACAGAACAAGCTCTTTACCTATCATTTTGTCATGACAGTTTCAATCAGTATGTCTCAAAGATTTTGCATCTTTAAGTATCTCCTCTTGAAAGGCAAAAACCATGGGGAGAGGTCTTAGGTTAGTACTTATCAGTTAATGCTTCAATTAGCAGTTAACGCTTTAATACAGATTACTTGATAGCTAGCTGAGAACAAGAACTGAACCTGGGTTGAGCTACTGGGGATGGAAAGGTACTGATGGCTGGTGGCTGTATGACCAAGTGCCCAAAACAAAGACTTCACCTATGTACATTTTCTCTGGATTCTGCCTGGCTCAGGCTATGCCTCAGAAGTTGGTGTGAAGGCAGGGAGCAATGGTCACTGGGTAATAATACATAGTCTCATCTGGCTGAAATATGAGTGAAAAAGTGTTGAAGGAGGAAAACCAAGAAAGTGGGCCCTGGGTGGTGGTGATAAAATAGAAAAGAGGGGCGCAATGCTACAGAAGACATGGCCGCCAACCAGACGTGAGAGGGTGCAGAGGAGGCACCCAAACCACAGACACCTAGGGATTCTGGGCTCTGATAAAAAGTCAAAGAATTTCTATTCTCCTTTTTCCCTATTTTCTACCCAATCAAAACATGCCCTAACCTAGTATAAGTTGGCAAGGCCCTGAATGCCTAAATGTGCAAAATAAATCTTTGGCTACGAAACCCAGACAGAAACAAACCTGGCAGAGAGAGAGGGTGAGGCTTTGTGGACACTGCTAAGAACCTTTAAGAACTTCATTCCTCAAGAAAGGCAGCCAAGATAACTGATAACCAGGAGATAACTGGGTTCTAATCTTGGTCTGCATTGATGGGGTGCCGCCCTTAATCATTTGTGTCTTCCTTTTCGTGTTAAAGCAGGCATTTCAGAGATCCCCTGCACACCTCAAACGTCAAGTCTGCACTATCTTTCCGTCTACCCACGTATTGCCTTTAATATGATTTTATTCAGTGGAAAATATTTTCTCCTCGTTTTCCAACCCATTCTTCATAAAGCACAGCACTGATTCAGGACAGGCGTGAAGGCCTCGGTCTCTAGGTCTGGGCTTTGGATATCAAGACAAAGCCAATCACCTCCTCTCTCCTTCAAGCATTTCGTCTCCGCCCGCCGCCATCACCGCTTTGCCTTCGCAACCGCATCCCACTCGTTCCCACGGCAACCGGAGGGGCGCCCGCGTCCCCCGCTCGGGACCCCGGAGCCGCGACCCCCGCCCCGCCCCCACACCTGCGCTCGCGGGCCCCAGCTCCTGCGCGCGGAGGGAGGAGGCCAGGTTGCCAAGGAAACAGGAGGACGCCAGCCAGCAGTCCCCACCGCCTCCGCCGCAGAAAGCCGCCTCCGGGGAGGAGGAGGAGGAAGAGGCGCTGGTAAAGGGAGGGGAGACGAGAAAGGAGAAGGAAGAAGGGGAGCACAGACAAGGCCCCCCGCCGCGATTGATGGGCTGCTCCTCCGCCCCAGACTAGTCTGCCTGCCCCGCCCTTCGCCCCTCCCGGGGAGAGAGGACGGATCCGCCAGGTAACGGCTGGGCTCGGGCCCCGCCCTCCCCCGCTGGTCCTCCTGCGAGGTGTGGGGAGGTGAAGGGGGACGATCGCTCCTTCCGACTAATACGATTCTGGAGGGAAATCGGGCCTGGCCCCTCCTTCCCTTCGGCTGGCACAGCCCCGGTTTTTCCCTGCTTCGAAGGGACAGGCTTGGGCGACTCTGTGATCATTTTATTTGCACACTGGCAGCCTCCCCGCATCTACATAACTTGCCCACAGACTGCCCTGGTCTGCAAGTCCAGGAGACGTACAGATGGCCCGTCCGGCCTCTGAGTGCGAAATTGTTGATATTACATATTATTGTTGAGAACACCGAATTGCTTTCAAGCCTGTATACCACCCACCCACCAAGTTCCCCAATTACACACTCAGTCTCCTTTCTGGGCTTGAGTGATGGTCAGTGTGTGACAGCCCATCTATTTCACTGCTTCGCAATAAAATGAAGAGTCACCCGCAAGGAGCTTTTCTTACAAGCCCGTTATAGCCCCCACCCCTTGACTTCCTAAGCCAAACGGGCTGGAAGAGTCAAATCATCTCCCCCTAACCCTTTCAATTCTTCCCTTCTCTTCTGTCACAGTAATCTCTCAGCCAAGTGTGAGGAAAATTAGGCCCAAATCACTCACTTTTGTTGCGTATACTCAAGACATTTTTATGATTTTAAAACTCTTAAGTTTTTTTAAAGTTAAGATTTAAACAAATTCTGTAATATTCATCATTACAAATTAATTAATTATGTAAAAGAATAAGGTCTCCTGAATCCTTCTAGACACCCAATTGTAGAAAAGGGGGGATTTATTTTTATTAATAATATTTTTCATTTTTAAATTACAGTTAAAATTCAATTAGTTTCAGGTGTACAACACAATGATTAGACATTTATATAATTTATGAAGACTAGATAAGTCTAGTACCCATCTGACACCAAACATAGTTATTATAATATTGACTATATTCCTGATGCTATACTTTATATCCTCATGACTATTTTTATAACTGACAATTTGTACACCTTAGGAAGACTTTATAAACCGGATTGTCAGGTATGCATATAGCCATTTAGATTTTGTTTTAAGGGAAACTTCAGCCTAAGAAGAGCTTAAATTTACATTTTTCTTTATTGCTGCGCCAATAACATATTCACTTTAATGATATTTCTACTATGAGAACATAGTAAGAAAACAGTAAAATAGCTTAATTGTTATTAAAAAGAACTGCCTCCAAATCAACTCTGACAAATGTAGCCATAGAAAAGAAAAGAAAAAACATATATATATATATGTATGATTTTTTTAAGAAAACGGAAAAACATTTCCGCAATGAGATTCTGTTCTCCTTAGGGAAATTCGGTTTGAATTCACTGGAAATTTACACTAGAGAGGAATGCATATGTCACAAAGTTCTTAGAATATTCCTTATTGAAATTTCACAGATATGTAGAATTCTGAAGCCAAGGAAAAAAATCACTGGTTCTTGCTTTTTAGCTAAGATGACTCCCTTCTCCCTTCCCCACATCCCTCCTACTCTTTTCCCCTTTTCTTTTCCCTCTCCCAGCTTAAAATGGCATCTTATGTTGATTCCTAAAGCACAAGTTTGACACACTATGTTATCACCAGAGACTTAAAACAGAAGTGTGCATGACCATGAATGGATTTTAACTTGAAAAGCAGTTCAAAGGTGAGAAACAGAAGCAAATACAGGATACTATTTTAGAAACATGAGCCTTGCCCACGTTTTATTATCGTTCTCCCCACTCCCAACCCCCACCCCACCTGTCTGTGTTTGCTGAGGAAAAATTTTGGGCTTCAAATGGCTATCTGGTTGAGTAGGCCCACAAAGCTGAGATCCACGAATTAAGCATTATCTCATGTGGATTTATTTCCATACAGTTATTTTTGTTTCTTGTTCATCCTGGTCAGTTTTTTCAAACCTGCAGTACAGTAATGAAGTTCAAGTGACACTTCAGAAACGTGGAGAATGTTTGCCTAAACTGTGGTGATAGACCAGCTCCTTGATCTTTAAAACAATCTGTTTCCTTGGTGCCTGTAGTATTTGTTTAATCTCACAAAGTATTGATATATTTAAATAAGAAATTATGTGTGGCACCATGATGAGTCTAAATACTCATTATATAGTAAAGTACAGCAATAGAGTTTATGGGAGAGAAAGAAACTTCTGTAGATACAGTAATTTTAAAGTCCTTTATTTGGTTGGTGATTGTGAAGTCAGAGGTAACCTAGCAAGTAATTCAAATAGAGTTATTTCCTACCTATTTAGACAAAGTTATTTCATGGCTCTTGACTTAGAAGCCTCCTTAAGATAACATGGCATTAAAGCCTGGATAGATTAGTTAGCTTTTCTATGTTAACTTTGTAACCAAAATTTATCATCTAGGTAGACTCTGGGATGTGCTCCTTTTAATGACCATTAACATATTTTCACTATGAAGTCTTATGTTCCCTACCCCACTAATATTCAGACAGGCTTCTCTTTCCAATATTAGCAGCAAGGGTTCATCTTTTTGCCTGTTTTAACACCATTGATTTCTGAAAACCATGGGGACATAACTTCATCCTATGCAGGTGATCTTTTAAAATGTAATCTCATAAGTGACTCCTAAAATGCTCAGAGGTTTGGGTTTTGTGTATAGATTGTAGAACTACCTATTGGACTGTAGTTTCAGATACCTGCTCTCAAAGACCAACTTTCTCTACTTGAGAGTAAAATAACCCACAAGGGGCCAGCACGAGTTTTCCCTGTTGCTCAGGGCTAGATGATAAACGTTGGGAGATTTCACAGCAACAAGACCAGACACTGGGTCACCATGAGTCAAGGGCAAGCTGATTTCTGCCAATATCTACACACCTGAATAAACCAGAGAAGTGAAGAAAAGCGGTAGAATGTAGACACCTCAGGGTAGGAATTTCATCTGTCTGATCCTACTGTTTCCCCAGAGCTTGGAAAGCACCTGTCATGTAATCATTAAAACATACATGTAGAGTGACACATTGGTTAAGAGCTGGCCTGGGATGCCAGAGGGACCCGGTTCAGATCCCACATATGAGGGCCAATGACACTGCCCTTTACAGCTAAGATGCTGAACAACAGCTCAACTTGGAGCTGGGCTGCTGTGAATCGCTGGCGAAGGCGTAGGCTGCAGCCCGCGTTGCAGAGGGTTGCCATGGGCTACCATGTGTAGTCAGCAGCCAGCATGAGTGGCCAGCAGCCGCAGTGAGTGGCCGTCCAGAAGCCGGCGACTGATCTGCCTCGCCCGGGAAGAGCGCAATGATGGTGCCAACTTGGGCCAGTGAANGACAGCAACTTATCTGTTCCCCTTCCCCCAATTCCTCAGTGCTGTTCCCATCCCCCAATTCCCCAATAAAAATCTTTAAAAAAAACCATACATATAGAAATAAATGAAAGAATTTCACTGGACAATAAACAGGAATTGTGTGGAAACTTTGATAACCTTATAGATGAGGTCTAGCGGACTCATTATTTTTTTACTGAGTTATAATTGACATATAACATTATATCAGTTTCAGGTGTTCAGTATTTGTATATATTGCAAAATGATCACCACAATTAATCTAGGTATCATCCATCTAGCAGACTCATTATTAACAGGGCCATTTAATAACTTTGGTCATAAATTTAGTCCTGACCAATCAGAGCCAACCTTCTTGAAAGTATTGTCTATAATTCCTTCCCTCTCATTGACGCAATCCACTGGGGTCTGTCTTCAGCCCCGTCACTCCACTGAATGCTCTCACCAAGGTCATTAATGACCTTCTTGAAACACACTTTTCTCGCCATCTGTAAAACTGCACCCACCTGGTTCTCTGCCTGCCTCTCTGGCTTCTTTGCAGGGCTTCTCTTCTGCTACCTGTCCTGAAGTTTTAGCATTCCTCCAAGTTTTGTCCTGGGTTCTCCTCTTTTCAATACTGATTCTGCCTTCAACTTCAATTGTCCCCCAAATGCCAGCCATGCCCAAATCTTTACCTCTCTAATCAGCTCCAGAGCCCTACATCTAATTGCTAACATCTCCATTTGCTGTACCCCAGACATTTCAAACTTCATGTTAGTGTCTCTCGAAATCTGCCCCTCCTTCCTTCTCCCTTTCTGAGGGGAATGTTGACACCAACCGGCTAGCTGCTCAAGCCAGTAACCTGGGCAGCCTCCTCCACACGTCCGTCTCCCGGTGATCCACGTCACCACCAAATCCTAGTGACTTTCTCTCCTGAGTGTCCCTTACTCCATCACGCCGGTGCCCACACTGGCATGAGACTCTGGGTTCAAATCCCAGCTCTTCCACTTGGTAGCTCTGTAACCTTAGGCAAGTTACTGAATCCCCTTGTGCCTCAGTTGGCTCATCTGCAAAATGGAGATATAGTGCCTGCCTCATAGCGAGGTCGTGAAGATTTGAATGAGTTAATACGTATACAGGCTTAGAACAGTGCCTAGCACTCCCAGAAGCGTAGTAAATAGTAGCTATGATCTCTTCCTCCTCCTCCTGCCCCTTAGTCCCCTCCTTCCAAACCTCTTCTTCCTCTGTCTCCACGTTTGCTACCCAAGTCTGGTCACCATCTTATCTCATCTGGATCACTGTCATATATGTTCCCAGCGGTCTTTCCACTTCCATTTTTACTCCACCCCTCCCATCTATTCTCCATCTAACAGCTGGAGGGACCTTTTAAAGATGCAAATCTAATCATAAACTCCCCAGATTGGAACCATCCAGTGGTTTTCTATGGCTCTTGGAATTGTTATCTTCAAGACCCCCACCCTCCTGAGATGGCCCCACCCACCTTCCCGCCCTTTGGTGCTGTTCACCTGTCTCAGCGCCAGCTGCTCTGGCACACCTGTTCCTCATCCAGCCCCTTCTGTACCTGCTGGCCTTTCCATCCTTTTCCATCCGAGATGCTCTCTCTCTCCCTGTCCCACTTCTTGTCTAGCTCACTCCTTAGCAAGCCCAGTGTCATTTCCAAATGAAAACCTGTCTTCCCAGACCAGGTTATGCCCTTCCATAATAACACTCTCTCAGAGAACCCCATACATCTCCGTAGTACTTATCACAATTGGGGTTTACTTGCTCAGTGTCAGTCTTCCCACCCAAGACAGGAGCTGTGTTCATCTTGCTGACTCCTGTACCCCAATGCCCAGTGTAGTGCCTGGGTTGGAATAGGGGTGCAATAAGAGTTGAATAAATAAATTTAAATTCCTAGGGGCTCATAACTTCGGTTACAGCTCATTTAACCAGGTACTTTTCTCTCATGTCATAGAACTGCTTCTGAATCAGGTGTCATCAATCTAACTCCCTATGATGAGCCAGAACAGGATCACTGAAGCCAGCTGATGGCTGCATTATTTACGCCTGGAACAGAGGGTTATAAGGGCATCCACACCAATACAAAGAGTCCCTTCAAGTCTGAAAGGAGCATCTGTGCCTTTCAAACAATGGAAATTAGATTAATAAGAGAACAAAAGCAACGATACTAAGATAGTTCCAAATGTGGCAAAGTAACAAAGGGTTCTGTCACAGCACATTTATTTATCTTTTATATGCAGGTTGGGGATTAAGAGTCATGTTGCATGAAGCAAGGGACAGGCAGAAGTTCGTCAGTGATGTTCTATATCTGCGGGACATGCAGCATAAGGTGGACTCTGAATATCAGGTAATTGCAGAAAACAAGAATTATCTTCCACCTTCACTTACAGTATTATGGGAGAAATCAGGATACAGTTATCAGCATAGGATAAACAGGTTTACGTGTCTAAAATCCAAAACCCACCATTTACAAGCTGCATGACCATGGAAAGCCACTTTACCTCTCTGTCGGTTTCCTCATCTGTAAAATGGGAATACTAAAAGTACCCACTTTATAATGTAGTGCAAATGAAAGAACGTTTTAAGAGTAGTTAGCACAGAGCTCGGCACACAAACCTTGTCAACAGATGACATTGGGGCTTCAATTTGATAAACCAGCTTATCAAGGAAGAAGACATTACAGAGTTAACTGGGGCACAATACCATTTATAAAATAACATGGCCTTCCATTGTCATCCCTCCAGAAGAAAGGTGGTTAGCACATTCTACAATAAGCTAACTATTCGTCACCCTAGTTACAGTGTTTACATGCAAAAACAAAACAGAGAACCTGAGGAGTCATGATGCAATTACCCGGAGCTGGCATAGGACAAACTTGCCAGACTGGGTGTGGGATTCTGGGAGCAGTTAGAAAGTATTATTCAGCCCACTGGTGGGAGGTCAGCCCTCACCAACCCAGGAGGCATGTCCTTGGCCTTGGCTAAGGATTGAAAAGTGCTCCTTCCCTAAGGAAAACACCAAACTGCAGTTATCAGGTTTTTCTCCTCCTTAACAATTTCAAATATAACTGAACCTCCCAGGTCACCAAGGAAACCAGACCTACCTATCGGTAACCCGGTTTCACCTGTATAACATAGCTTAGCTTTGGGGCTGGAAACGGAGTCAGCAAATTCCTCCCACAACTTGCCGATGCACCTACAAGACTACCAAGTTGAGGGAATGTCTATGAAATAAGAACATAAACATCTGAACTTGTCATGCTGGGAGTCTATCTACTTTTCACAAAGATGCCTCTGCCACTCAGCCCATGTTTCGAAGGACCTGTTTGCAATTTTCCCCAGAACAGGCACATAAGATAATCTTATTTTATAGTCTCTGCTGAAAAAAAAATCACACAACTCTGCGGCTTGGAGCCACTGCAGTTTTATTTTCTAATCCCGTTTGGGCTTTTAACACTGTCCTTATTAATAAGGACACTTTCAACACTCTCCTTATAAATAATAAGACTTAAGTGCCTACTATGTCCTGAACAAAGTCCCTTGCCTCCCAGAGTTCTTGTTCTTGTTACTTCTTGCACAAGTAAATAAAGATGTAAGATAGTTTCAGTTACTGATTAATATAATGAGGCAGGTAAAATAGAGGTAATTGGGGTGAAATGATGTTCATTTACACAAGCAGGGAAGGCCTCATTGAGGAAGAAACTTAGGCTGTGGAAGTAAATGACAGGAAAGAGCCAGCTACAGCATCCTGAGAAGGAAAGCAAGTGCAAAGGCCCTGAGGCAGGAACTAACTTAAAGCATTGGAGGAAACAAAAGAAGCCTGGAGTGGCTGAAACACATTGACCTAAGGGAGAGTATGGAAGAGGTAGATAGGACCAGGTCATGTTGAATCTTGCAGTACAAAGCTTGGTATTTGGAATTTATTCTTATCACAGTGAGAATTACTGGATGATTTTAAGCAGGGGAGTGGTATGATCTGATCTACATTTTTAGATGATGTCTCTGGCTGCTGTGTAGGGAAAGAACTGAAAGGGGCAAGAAAAGCAGCAGAAAAACTGGTAAAGAAACTACAGTCGAGATTTAGGATAGAAATTATGGTGGCTTGGGCCAGGGTGGTGGCAAGAAGTGGCCCGACCCGGGAAATAGAAGCAGCACAGACGTCTTGCTCTGATAGATAGAGAGGGGCAGTGAGGGAGAGAACTAACTGAAGGATGACCCACTTCAACATGGTCACTTGTCCATCAACTCCTTCTGTTATCATCACTATTTTAAACTTTTCTACTTTTTTTTCAAACCTCCAATCCTCCATACTTTCAACAAAGAATTTCTCTTCCTGTTTTACCCACACATGAAGCAGAATGATGCACCCAAGGCCATCAGGTGGGGAGCCACTCAACACCTCCCCTTCTACTGCAGGCTACATACCCATCCAGTCCTCAGGTCTCAAGGGTTGAGGTGACACTCCATGTGCTTGTGCTCAGCCTGAGACCTTGGTCCATGCCCCTCCATCTTCAGCCCCTCTCCATCCATGGACCTCTCCTCTGCATCTCTGAACGGTCCCTTCTTCTTATTGGCCCAGCCTCCAAACATGCCCAACCCTCTCCTTTCTAAGAACTAAACAAGGCGCTGTCTGTGGACCATGTGTCCCTTTCTAACCACAGCCCTGGCACTTTCCAGGCTCCAGATGTCCCCAATCAGTCAGCTACATTTCTATCTCCACTTCCTCTCCGCCCACTCATTCCCTAACCCACGGCAGCCTGGCTTTTACCTCACTTCCCCTGAAACTGTTCTCGCCAGTAGCCAGATTCAGTGGACACCTTTCCAGTCCCTGTTTTCTGGAGTTCTATCTACATTGGACACCATTACTCCTTTTTCTTCATGAAACGCTCCTCCTTTGGCTTTCTGACATCACATTCCCCTGATTTTCCTCCTGCTTCCCTCACAACCTTCTGCCTGCCTTTCCAATGTTAATTCCCTCCCCCCGACCCCCATTTTCCATCCTTCACCCAACTTTCTTCTAATTCACAAGGTCTCCGTGACCCGTCTCATCCTGTCATATGTTTGCACCACCACGCACATGCTAATGAGTTGCGATCCGGAGTCTTCCCAAAAAGTGTTAGGGTCAGGTACGCACCTGCGTGTTGGACATTTCCAACTGAATGTCGCGTTGGCACCACCAATTCAGCGTGGCCACCGTTTCAGTCTTCATGTCCATCCTCCTGTCCTCCTCCTCTGTAATCCTTTTCTGATGATAGTGACCTAAGCCCTCCCTGAGTCCGCCTCCTCCCTCCTCAGGGACCAAGTCCTGCCCAGTCACCTGAAAGCTCATCAACTTGTGCCTTCCTTTTTATCCTGTTGCCACCATGCTGGCTCCAACCTCCAGAGTTTCCCTTCAAGGCCATTACGATATCCTTATAACCAGTCTCCTTGCCTCCAGTCTTGCACTCTTGAAATCTATCTAAAATGTGAATTTGGCTACGCCACTGAAATGCATGAAGCCCCTCAGTTGCTTCCCCTCACATAAAGGGAGGTCCAAGACCCACGCACCACGGCAGGACCAGCCTAAACCTCAACTGCATCTCTAACCTCTTCTCTCCGCTTCTTTACTCTCTTGACAAGGATGGTGAGGACCACAGTTATACTTTAGAACCAAAGGGAACCTCAGTACTCCCATAGCACCTTTGGAAAAAAAAAACCTTTATTAAGGTATAGTTTACATATTATAAAATTCACCTATTTTAATTGTGTAATTTAATGGCTTTTAGTAAATTTACCAAATTTGCAGTCATCACCATCATCGGTTTTAGAAGATTTCCATCACTCCAACACAACAGTACCCTTTTCATACCTCTCTCACGTTGCTAATGAAACTATCTTTTGTGTGTCTTGTTCTTCGCTGTTGAACCAAACACCTTGTCATTGACTAGAGCCAGTGTCACCTAACTTGACCACCAACTCTGTTTATCAGGCTTAGATCCAGCCGACTTGTAACTATTCCTAAAAGCCAAATTCACCCTCATTAAGCATTTTCAAAGCCAGTCACCATGAAGTCTGCAGAAAATAAATAGGGCTGTCTTTGAGATGTCCTGAGTATTGTTGAGGCAACGATCTCGTAACCCACAGAAACTGCTTCGAAGGGAGCCACAATCAGTTACATTACTTAATCTAAGCCTTGCCTTATTCCAGAAAGGATTTGAAGGAGGTTTGAGAATCGGCGACATGACTCAAATGACCCCTCAATAACTTGGTCCATATATGACCTATGTGTATTTAGGTAATTTAGTAAGGCAGACTTTGTATTGGGTAGATAGTAAAACCCTGGGACACATAATTTGGCTAGATATTTGTGGAAATCCCAGTTTTTACTCACAGTGCAGACACCTGCCCAGACACTAGGGAGTCCCCATTTCAGGTTATACCAATAGCGCAAGACCTAATAACTAGATAGGACTCCCAAATCATACGCATTGGCCACATAATCCTTCTTATGCTTGACTCGCCTTTAATGAACTGGCTCAAATTGAAGCCTTTAGAAACCTCTTTTGTACACTATCCCTGCTCCATCCTAAAATATGCGAAGGGTTGGTATGCACCAAATTAGCAGTGCCTTTACAGGTCTGTGTGCTAGCAGCAGGAGAGGAGGGTTAAACCCACCCTGAGTTATTTTGATGCTACTCCTTTCAGTGGTTGGGTGGGACCCTTTTGAAAAAACAAGAGGAAATAAACATCTATTTGGCATATTACATGCTATTTCAGAACCTAGTAACTGGTACATAATTATATGCCGTCTCAGAATTTGGCTCTATTTTTTTTTTCAAGGGTGTTCATACTGCATAGCTTTTTGTTTTTCTCCTCCTCCTTTTGGTCAAATGTGTGTATGTAACTTGAGGTAGAATTTAGCCATTAATGTCCACTGAAAGCTGGAAAGATTACACTTGGCATTTCCGGATGATTTTCCATAGTCTATCAAATGTGTGCAGATGAGTTTCATTTCATGTAACTTATTCATCCTGATTCCTTCAAGTGCAGATCAAACAACTGAAGGTTAGGATATAAACTGCTCAAGGGCATACTAGGTGACTATGCCAGGGGTGAGCGTTTGGAACTGTCCACTCAGGGGACTCAGGGAATGGAGATAATTCAACTTCCCTTCTCATGGGAGTCAGAGGGAGGGCTCTCTGGTCTGCTCACCTCTGAGGTATGTGTTTCTCTACTCTTCACATCTAGAACAAGAAAACAAACTCATTTGAGGGGAATAGCACATCAAACTGTTTTTACACCTTTGATTACTTAACCTTTCAAAACTAATGAACCTTAATAATGTCACCAATGATAATTAAAACCCAAAACTCTGGGTTATGCATGTTAGATCATAAGAACAACCACCAAAAAGAACCAGCTGAAGGCAGTGACAACTCTCACTTCCCCAAATGCTTGCGGAGTTTGAGTAACAAATAACCTTGACGGGGCCACTGTTGATTGAGATGTAGAATCAGGTCTTAGAGTGGTTTTTCTACCAGAACTATGAGACTGGGAAGTGTCCCTGTGGTACCTGGATGGCTCCTTCAGGCACCAGGAGCCCAGGTAAAGGAGGAGACTGATAATAAAAGAAACAAAAGGAACTTGGAGCATCCCTATCGATTCAGAAAGCTGTAAAACGGAAGAAAAAGTGGTGTACAGAGGGACCTAAATGACTAAAGCATCTCCTCAGTTGGCTGCATGGGGAACGGGCCGGGTGAGGACACCCACCACTACTTCCGGGGCCAAAAAACAAGGATGAACCTCAGGCCTGGACAGAAAGGTTCTTTCTTCTTCCATGACTAAGATCAGAGTCACATTATTTGGCAAAGGCTGACTTTAGAAATAGAAGTAAACCAAGAAATGGGATTGGAAACAGCAATGAAAAGCCTCATAATGATGATGATGATGGTGATGAGGAGGATGATGAGGGTGGTGATGGTGATGATGACAATGATGATGCGTGCCTTTTATTGAACTCTGCTAAGCATCTTACCAATAGTGCCTCATGATCTCCTACCAACCTTGCAGCACGGGCCTATCTCACATCCTCCTCTTAGAGATGAGGGGAGAGAGAATCAATGGCATTAGTCAGCTCACCCAAGGTCACGATGCTAGAAAGTGGCAGAGCTGGGGGTTGTCGTGTTTACCAGTATTGAGTTACAGTGAGTCACAAAACCCACGTCACCCCCCACACGCATATATGTGCCTTCTGTGTTCTGCCCCCACAGTGGGTAGCTTCTGCACAAAAGGCAGCCTGACTGTGTGAGCTGTAGTCAGAGGGATGAGCTTAGGGGGGTAGGGGGGTGCAGGGGGACCAACACTGAGGAGTGAAGGAGGAAGCCCTGATTCTCCCAGAAGGAAGGAATAAGACGTTACCTGACACGCTGTCAGTTTCTAGACTGCCCTCAGCCAGTTTTGTCACATGAACAGAAACTTATTTATAGCAATCTAGCTCCAGGCACGTGAAATTGAAAGGGGGATATTTTTAAAGTTCCAGGGTAAGGGGAGCCCCTGGCAACTATGAATTACAAGTCTATTCCTCCTCTTCATCCTGTGGGTTTCACACTCCTCTGGCCCTGGCACTTCAGGAACCCCAAAGTAGAAACAACGTCAGCATCAACAACAACAAAAATCATTAACATTTACAAATAACGGGC